CCACTGCCACCGCCACCACCACCGCCGCCACCGCCGCCACCAGCACCAGCACCACCACCAGCACGGGCCCCGCGGGCCACACGGCCCCCGTAACCCTGGCTCACCGTGCACAGAGCCACATTTGCCGGGTCTCGCTGTACGTCCTGTCCCTAAATCCCGAACCCGCCTCGAGGGTGACCGTCGTTCCACGCCCCCCAGACACCTCGCCGACCCCTGCCGGCACGGGGATGACGATTGAGCGGTGAGAATGTAATGGCACCAGCTCTCACCGAGTGAACCGCGACACCACCAGCAGCATGTCTCGAGGCTGAAATTGCATGGAAAATTACGATTAGATTTGAAATCACGTCCTCGGCGCGCTTTCAAAGGCCACGAATTATCGCTTGAAGATCATCGTTATAGAGCTTTCTTTTCCTGAACTTCGTTTACTGCTAGGTCAAGAAGAAATAATATAGAGATTGTAGATATAAAGTTTTCATATAAAGTATGATGTATACATAACTCTATTTCTTCTTGACAAAATGTCCTAAAACACTTCATGTATACGTTAAACTCCTTGTGAAAATACAGGGTTGAGAAGTAATGCGTTATTTATCATGTCGTCATTGTTACAATTATTTTTTTACAATAACGACGTTTTCTCTTATTTATAACGTTAATTGCAATGTAGTGACGCTTTTCGGGTAATAGTATATAACGATCTATTGGTAACGAATATAATAAAACCAGTATCTTTATTGTTATTTGGTACACGTACAGTAACCACTACAGATACATTTCGCAATAAAATGGACAATTAGCGACACAGAAAATTGAATGCCACTTTAAAACCGGGTTATCAAAATTTGATGGAAAAGAAACGGAAATTGTAACAACTCGATATAGTTTTCAAGTAAAGATAATAAAATTAATTTTTTAAATCAATAATAAGTAACAAGTTACTTTTAGAAAGTAACTTTTCTAACTTTGCGAAAATATTAGAAATAAAACACTTTTGTAACTGCATTCCACTTAATAAAAAAAAAAATCAATTGTAGCTCTCAATTATTAATAAAAAATATTTTATGACGTTAAACATTATTTACAGTTTGATGTTAAATCTGATGTAAAGTAAACTTTTTTGTTACGTAATTCCAAAAGATTCTTATTAAATTCTCTATTTTAATTAATTTTAGGTTTAAAAAACGGAAACTAAAAACTTTTGCAGATAAGAAGTGCGTAAAAAAGCACAATGACTTTAATAAGCAAAAAAATATTTCGTAACTGCAGTTTTATTTATCTTTGAGAAATCTTTTACTCGAATCAATTTAGTGTATTCTAAAACCAAACTTACTTTTTACATAAACCACACTTACGTGAATTTTCGGGGAGGACAAGACGCACCGATTGAAATTTGCAACTTCGCACAAACTCGCCGCGTTTCTTTGAACTTCACTTCCAATCGGGCTACTGTTAGATTCGAATAAATAGGACGTGCACATGACGTGCTCGACGCGTCGTGCAAAATTCAGTCGACGACGTTTCGACGAGGATCGACGTTTCGACGACGTTACTGCGATGTCAATGGTACGGCTTGGCAAATTTTAATAAATGCGATATACGGCTCCGTTCTCCGAGTTAACAGTGACACGCGGACTGTCGGACTGAACTCGGACGGAATGAGCACCCACTCCCACTGACTACCCCATTCCCACCCCTTTCTTTCCTCCCCGTAAATCCCACTCTGTTTTTTCTTCGTCGTGCATCCTTTTCTGTCTTTAAACACTCGCGTGTTTAAATATTGTTTAAACAAATGCAACGCAACATACTATAACGCAAAACGTATTTTCATTACGCAAAATTTAATTATTGAAATTTAATTATAAAAATTTAATTAATCAGTAAATATATCGCATTCTCGCTTCACTTCGTATACGTCTTAAGACGACCTTCGAACAAACTCTAATTAATTTAATCGTTTAATTTATCAAGTAATATAATTTCAGTAAAATCAAGTAATATTAATTTGATAAAATAAATGATAAAATAAATTATTAATTTTTATTGTTTGACATTTGTGAAGCGAGACTAAAGATCAGGGACAACAAATTATATAGTTAGAAACTTCGATTATGAAGTTAATTTGGTTGAAATTGTCTTTAAATGTCACAGCAATGATAGCAAAGCTAGAAAAGCGACGGAAATATAGGGAGCTGGTAGTAAATTGTAGCATTGAAGGTACACTAGATAAAAACGATGCCAGCCAAAAAATACAGATTTTATTCATCCACCTATAACGCATACACAATAAAGTTGGTTAAATCCATTTCAACTGCAAGATATATGTAATGAGAAGTACATACACAAAATATACAGGGTGGGGCAATTCTCGACTTCATGACTCAGTCTATCTCTGCGGTTATCGAAAAATGCCTTGAACGACAGAGATCGTTTAGGTCACAAAATTAGACGTCTCACTCTGTATATAAGACATACGTAAGATGTATGTATATATTTATATAGGGTATCCCGTCGCTACCGCGTCACTTCTTAATGGCGAACTCTTTGGATAATTTGAGGTCGAAGATATATACGCGAAGTTATGTCGCTTCTTAAACGGAAAGCGATGAGAGTTAACTGAAACTTTCCGCGAACGGATTAGCTTTAATCGCTTCCCAATTTCAATATGGCATCCTCGATGTGTATTTCCATATTGAGACACCCACTCCAAATTATTTGAGGAATCCGTCCCCTAGTAGCTAATGCAACAGTAACATCCTATACTTACATGTACATACACATATACACATACCTTATTTATATATGCATTTATATTCATATAATTTAATGTGTTATGCTCAAACTCTCTGTTCGCTACGATTCTAAGGTACATCATCTACACATGCGGATTTTGTAGCATCCGTATTTCGTGTTCTCGTGTCCCTCACGAGCGTCCTCGCGTGTCCCCCTGTCGTTCTCCGTTAATTAAACCAAATGAGAATAGATTTTCAATCACCATAGTGCACGTTGCTCCAGAAATCTTCAAATAAATACTCTCTGTGCAACGTCTTAATATGTCTTATGCCTGTTTCTAACCAATGTGGATTAACTTTAATCTTGGTTTAATTTACTCTTTTTTTTTCTAATCCTTGAAACTAGAAAAAGATGAAGAGTAAGTTGGACCAAGATTAACTTGTTAATCTACAATTGGTAGAAATGAGCACTAATATGTAACCGAGTGATTAGAAAAAGAGAAGAAAAACGGGGGATGATCTCTATTCTAAATATTTATCAAAATTAAATAATGGAATAATTGCATAGAGAAAGAAAAAGAAGCAGACGTTGACTTGTGTGATTTGTGGCATCGTTAAAAAATAATTTTTCAAGTAATCACTCTTTCTAGTTAATCTGACCCACCTGCGTCGTCGAACTTTCCATAAAAAAACAGAGAAGATTTTATCGGTACAAGGTGGATCCAAATTATCGAGCTACGAGGACGACGATAATTACACGAAATTCTTGTTCCCGGAATACTCTTTCATAGACGCTATCGATTCGATAACGTCCGTTAAATGCTAAATGCTTCGAGTTTACCGCTCCGTCAGAAGAGTAATTTTTAATAACGCTATTTGAATAATACATAGTAAATTTTCTTTCTCGTCACCTTGTTCCCCTAATTATCAAGTTTCGCGTTCGTCAATTTGAGAACTCTTCGGAAAGCTGTCAACGCGGACACAATTTTAACAAAATAATACCTTCCGGTAATTGCGTCGTGTGTCGCTCGGAAGCTTATAGCACCAATAACAATAATACATTAATTAAAAATGACAGATCGTGAAAATCAAATATATCATAACGAAAATTGAAATATTCTACATCATATCTTTTAATCTATCACTGCCCGAATAAATAAATTAATTTTCAATTCTTGATTCTCGGCACTTACATTAAAACGAAGAACTTCGAAGATCACGAAAGGCATTTAATTTTATAAGAAATTTATTTCATATCTTTTATTAGAATTTCTCAGAAAGGTATAGATAACCCAAGGAACACATCAAGTTGACAGAAAGTCAAAATGACTTTATTTTAACGTCGTAAAAGTCAAAATAATGATTTCTGGTTACAAAATTTGACTGTTTATTGACGTTAAAGATCAAAATAAAGTCATTTTGACTTTTTGTTTACTTTTGTGTGTTCCTTGGAAAACTGTTCTTTAATTAGGTTGGGTGCTAATGATTTGACTTTTCTTTGGTAATAAGATTTAGAAAAAAATTATGTGTGCTGAAAAGAGTACAAAAGATACAGATTCTTAACGCGCCATAGAAGCTTCGTTATAAATGGCACGATATGTAATTATAATTGATATCATAATTACAAAGATTATAATAAAAAGTATCGGGATTTTCTATGATGATTCGAATATAAGTCAACACGCTGGAATAACGAATGACGATACATTGGCACGGAACGATGCGATCAGCGCGCAACCGAATCTGAAAAAAATCGAGGTACATTCCTCAGCGCGGCGCGAAATCAGGAAAGCAGAAAAGGAGCGCTCGCGTAAACATCTTCCGATCGGAATATTCCTATTTCCTTCGCTGAAATCGGCGATAATCGCGTGAACCGTTGTCATCGATATCGTTAGATCGCGCTGAACCGCTCCTCGTGGGCCTTCTTAACAATCGCTAGTTTGGAGTGAGGGTCCGCGGTCGATAGTCCCGTGTATGGTGGTTCTCTGGTACCGTGGAGCATCAGTGTCCATTCTTTCAGCCACCCATGTTGAGGCGTTTGAGTGTTGAAGCTCACCTAAAGAAAAAAAAAAAACCCGATACTCAGATCGAGTTACTCTTGCGTGTAGGCGGAAGGAAAAAGACACGTAATAAAATTCAAGTAAGAAACACGAGGAAACGAAATTTACCTCCAACAACCAAGTCCCCTGAGGGTACTCTCCCCACGTATGCGTCGTCATGAATGGCCACTTCGTGAACCCATCCCTGTGATCGTCATCATTCACTCTGCGGCTCAAAATCATAGATCTAAAAATATATTACGGAGATTTAGAACCGATCGGATGAAAAATTAAGAAGGGAGAAACTCGTTAAAAGAATATGGGAAGAAACCCGTGGGTTTGAATTGATCGTAGGGTAAAGTGTTAAGTGTTGAACAGCAGATAGAAAGAGAAAGAAGAAAATTTTGAAATTATCGCACGTACACCTTAAACTTCTATTATAGGCGTTTCAAATTTATAGCTTGTAGCAAGTGGGAAAATTCAATTTTATCAATTTTGTTCCGATGAAAAATTCATATCACGAATATGACATTTATTGCATACCTGGTACCCATTGGGGACGTGAGGAACAGCTCGAGATCACCACGCCGAGTTGCATTTACGGAAATGACGGCTTGCACGTGCTCTAAATAATTGACAGCGTACTCCGTGCCGGCGCACGCGTCGGTTTTAATTTTCACGAGAATGGATCGATCGCTCGTGACTTTTCTGGAAAATAAAAAATCAATTCTGTCTGAAGGAAAAAAAAATCAATCCTAAATCGATTGGAGAACCTCGTTCATTAGCCAAGTAAAATAAAAAGTCATAATGAGAGACATCAAAATGGTATTAAAATTACTTCAAACCCAAGCAGAACAATAAGTCATTATGCTATCAAAATGATGTCAAAATGATCATTAAAAGTCATTTTTCAATCATTTCCGATTTATTTTAATGTAATTTTGACATTATCGTGACCTTCTGATTCGATATCAACTAAAGTAACATAATATCGATGTTACAATTTCGCACTCGGTATGAATATAATAATATAACACTTGGTGTTACATAAAAGTGTTATATTGAATAAGAAATTATAGTATTTTGTTATTTTTAACTGATTTCGACTAAACTGTTCTGCTTAACATTATGAAAATATTCAGTGCCTCATCTTGATTTCGCGTTATATAAATCTTTGAAAGAGCTATACTTACTGCGTTTCGAACGTAGAACCAGCTTCGCAGTGATATCTCGGTGGTACCGTCTTCCATTTTTTAGCTAGAGCTACCATAGCGCCCGCGTCCAAGACGCCATATCCAAAAAGATGATTAAACTCGAGTCCAACGCCATTCATGGTCCAATGAAATCTATCCTTCGCGTCGAACAGAGAATTTCTTTTCGAAGTTAGGACGGTCAAATGCTGAATATCTCTCCAGGTCAGTTGCGGACTAGAAACGAAAGTTCTTTCAGCTTAGAGCACGAAGTTATAACAGCATCAGAGGAAAATTTTTAGTTTGTATCACGAGATTGATTTTTAGTTTGTATCACAAAGATTGACGGTACCCTATAAAATTTTTCTATGACAAAATTATTCTTATTGTTAATCTACAATGCCGTCGCAAACTTGTTCTAAAGTTGCAAGAGCGGTCGCGACAGTCACAAACATCAATAGTTGTCACGGCCATTCTTGTGACTTTAAAACGAATTTGCGACCGCATTGTAGACTAATTGTAAGCATTACGCAATGAATTTGTGGAAATTGATTATCGAATACTTAAAAATATTAATATGAAAACGTTAAATAAATGGAGTATTTTTACGGCCTTCCCTTAAGAAAAAAATGTTTCAATATATTGATTAACTATTCAGTAACTGATGATATTTAATCAGTTACTGGTGAAATATCATCAGTTACTGAATAATTAATTAGTAGAGAAAAGCCCCCTATTATGAAATAGGCGCCTAATATGAGATAGTGGCGTTTCTGCTTAACTAATAAACGTTATCTATTGGTTCCATCATGAATTTATTGCTCTTGGATTGAAAACTATTTAATAGAAAATTTATTATTAGATCATGCCTGTAATCATTGTAAAAAAAGACTTTAGAATTTGGATCTTCAAGTTTCATTGAGATGAGCCTTTAAATCTTGTTTATTATTTAATAAATAAGTTAATAAGTATTTGGCAATAAATTCTTCATATAGTGATAGAGCAAGGGCGTACTAATAGAAAAATACGGGAAATGTTTAATTACAGAAGTTAGATTTGATGATCGTAAACCATAAGGCATGGAAATCGTAATATGAGATACTCATGGTATTTCTAATATGAAATAACCCATGCTCCTATGTTATAGTGAAAATCGTTGCTAAAGAGTAAATGTTATTGTACAATAATAAAAAGAACAACCAGAATAAACGTCGAGTGCCTATTTCTGCAATGCTTGATTCCAACTACCTGAAGACGAGTTCTGGGTATAATCTATGCTCATTTTTCACGCACGCTGATTGTCTTTGTTTGCATTTTAAAAACATGAAATAAAGTTTTTTAATTGCAATAATAATATACTTTGCGTTTTACTATCGATTTCGCGGGGCATCTCATATTAGGAGCATAATTTTTTGACTTTGTGATTTGCTCACTTTTTACATTTCTTTAATTTTCCACAAAAATGGAATTTGAATTAAATTTTATATAACGTTATCTTAAAGCTTATTAAATTCCCTTTAAAATGACCTATTATTTTTTTAAATTCTGCCCATAGACTTCTAGCATTTACCCAAAATGAACTCGGTATCTCATAACAGAGGCCTTTCCTCTATATTGAAATATTTTTTCCTAAGAATTTTATATTTAATGTAATAATTAAACTTAAACTAAATATTACGCGCCGTGTCAATATGAAATATTAAAAATACGTTAATAAAGAGAAAAAAAAATACACTTACTTGGCTTCGAGAGCTAGCGCAAACACTCCCGCAGCTTCCGGTGCTGCGGCGGAAGTCCCGCTATGAGTCGTCGTGCATTTTCCATATAAATCCGTAGTGGCCTGTATAAAAAACGCATGCAATAAAATAAAAAAAAGATCTTCTGTAAACAATTTTATTATGAAAGAGAAGGGACTGCGGTTAGAGACTACATTTTTTTCATCGGTGTAGTATAAATAAAGCATTTTGTGTAACGTTTCTTTTTTTTAATAAAATCGTTTTTGAAAAGACGATCTTTTTATCTCTGCAGTGTCAACTTACCACTCCCGTGTTAGGGTCCTTGGCACCATTGCTGAAGGTGGAAGCCAGGGTGCTGGAGCAGCTCTCATCATAATGCGCGTTCTGACCGTCGTTGATGGCACTGTTGATACTGATGGTCCACATACTCGCGGCGTATCCGTCACAGTTACAGTCATCCTCCTCTCCGCCGTCCCCGGATGCCCAGACGTAGATATTGCCCAATCCGTTTCTCCCCTGATATATAAGAACAAACAAGGGACATGAATGAGTATGTCGTAAAAGCGACGTAATATTTTCTTCTTTTTTAATTTAAAAACAGACTTAAAAATTAAACATCGCTCTTTTCGGGATCATAGCCCAAGAAATACAAGTCAAAAGAGAGTTAAAATGATTTTTTGCTATAAAATTTGATTTTATTGCGACGTTAATAAAGTGATTTTTTTATTTTTTGTTGATTTTTGTATTCCTTGAGAGGTATAGAGTTCAAGACTTCAGTCAGGGAGGGGGAGTAAAAATTTATCTTCACACACAAAATTTATTAAAATACTTATATTAAAGTCAATCTTACAAGTAAACCTACGAAAGTGGGTTAAGGGGTTTTTGGGGTCGCTCACTAAATCTTATGTCAAAAGTATGAAATTCAAAAGTTTTTTCAACCTAAAGGTAAGGATCTTTAAGGGATAATGTTCACCCTTCAGAGTGGATCTTAGCCGATAAAAAAAATATGTGTCAAATATTTTTCAAAGTTCTACAAATGTACAAAGTTTCATTAAAATCGGTGAGATACTTCCATAGGTTTACTTGTTAGAGGATCTTCAGAAAACTTTCTTACGCATACGTGTGAGACACGAATTGAGCGTTTATCCAAGCAAAAAAAACAACAAGTCATTATGATATCAAAATAATGTCAAAATGACTCCAAAATCATTAAAAATCGTTTTTCAATCATTTTCGATTCATTTAGTTGTTTCCCCTTGCTAAAATTTAGGGTAGGCAAATTCCCCATTTTGCTCCCCTTGTTTATATTTGGGATATTCTTATGCGGATCTTAACTAAATTATTAGGCTGGAAAAAGAAATTAAAAAAAAAAATTGGATTAAAAGGGAAAGTAATCTTTATTATTCGCTATTAGCGCTGACATATTTTTCGAGTCTCTTTTTGATTTTAATTAATGCAAGAATTGATAGCGAAAAGCTTTCGATATTGATTTTATTGTTAAAGATAATATCGGTGATTCAATTAATCTCGCTAATGGTCGCGTAAGTGGTTACGAGTAAGTAATTATGTCACGTGTACCTCATTAACGCCGCGTACGATGGCCCTCATGGTCGCGTTGCGAGGTCCATCCACCGTCTTTCCGTCATCCGTGGGTCCCCAGGAGGCGCTGTAAATGTCTATGAGATCGGGTTCGTGGCCCATACTGTTCGCCTCGATCAGATCGGTCATGTACGGCTGATCCAGCATCCGGATCCCCGCGATCTTCGAGTCATATGCCACTCCGACGCCGCACACCCCGTTGTCGCGCGCGGCCGCGACCTCCCCGGCGCATCTCGTACCGTGGCTTCCCATGACAAAAGACCGTAAAGCTTTAGGTTTTCTGTTTATTGCACTGATTATTACGGCGCGGATGTTCGCCAAGCGATTCACGGCGCGGATGTAGGACGCGCTTTTGTTTTACTTTCAAACACAAATGCTTTTGTTTCCACGCCCTCGGTTAAGAGCGCTCGGACTACTCACCCGCGCGATTCGTTTATCTACTTCTTTGACTCAAACTTGATTAACTTTACATCGTTCTATTCTCTCTTAAGAACGTAATTCTTTCTTTGTATATAAAATATACTCTTACCTATTAAACCAGTCGTCGGTGTACCTCGGGTATGGATACGGATCGTTACTGCTAAAGTCGTAAGAAGCTTTCGCGTTCTGAAAGGAAATGTCGACTTCAGTGACTTACGATCATTAAGAAGATTCTCCAGTCTTTTCGTATAAAATAAGGATTTGATCAAATATTGAAGTTTCTAGTTAATATGAAGACATCTTTGAATTTTTTCAAATTTTTTGATCGTATAAGTTTGTTTAAATAATTTTCTAAAATAGCTTAAATTCTTATGAGAAAGTAGGTTTTGAGTAATTTAATTGTAAACGAAATATAAGAACTTTGAAGAGTTATATAAAAGAATGAAATTTAAAGGACATTTTGGAATTAAAAAAATAAAGTTTTATTTTTATGTAAAAGTATGAAATGTTTATGAATTACTTAATTCTCTTTAAATATAACGTCACACTAGTACAACGTTGTTTCCACCAGAATTATCAATATTTAAATTAAAAAACTAAAATAAAAGTCAATTGAGCCAAATACTGATTGTAAATGTGTATTTTAATATATGTATATATATATATCATTTATTAAAAATGAATATTAACATATAAACATTTCGACTTATGGTCAAGGTCCTCTTCAAAACAGAAATATATATATATTGACCAAATTAAAAACTATTAACAAATATAATATATGAAAAAACTATGGTGGTATCCGAATTAATCTTGGTCATTTGTGATTACAAAGTCAAATGACTAACTTGATCTGTCGTATAATACTCCATGCTCTATTAAATTGTTCAATTTAATGAATTAGAACTTAAGAATATTCAACACAACATAACTGTTCGATAAACCGATATAAAATGATTGATGAATTTGGATACCACCACAGTTTTTTCGTATATTCTATTTGTTAATGGTTTTTAATTAGGTTAATATATATATTTTTTTGTATTGAAGAGGATCTTGACCATAGGTCGAAACGTTTACATGTTAATATTCATTTTTAATAAATGACATATATATTAAAATACTTACAACCAGTGTTTGGCTCAATTGGCATTTGTTTTGGTATTTTAGAATTTTTCTTTAGAGCCTATTGATTACATTGATTTAAATTTAAATAATTACTGTTAACAATTTTTTTAAATATTTTCCACATAAATATTCATTTTTATCATAAAAAAATTATTTTCAATAACAAATTATAGTTTTATTATTTATTTTTTAGAAGATAGCATTATATATCCTTTATGCTCTCTTAAGATAAAAAAGTCATGTAATTCTATTTCACTTTTTGAGTTGGAGAACCTCTTTAATTTTTTATTTTTAATGTCGTTATCATGAACAAAATATACAATCACCGAGTTTGCTACATGCTAATTTTAATTATAAAAGTAGCAATAAAAAAAGATAATTACGCTTTTTGATAAAAAAATTATAAAAGGACAATAAAACGTTTGCTGCCAACAGCAAATAAATAACTAGATTTTTTTCTCTCGAGTACTGCAAGTTATTCTACTTTATCTACACTTTATCCGATTTCAAAGTCTCTCGTTCTCTGTTATTTGGAATTCCTGGCGTACTTCCATGAAAGATGCGCCGAGAATGGCATCCGTGCGAAAGTATGAAGAGAATATTCGCGTGATCCTATTTAGTACAACGTACTTTGCTGCACTATTAATAAATTATATTCCCAGATTTCTCGTGGTAGACACGTGGTAAACATTATGCATTACTTTCGTATTCGTAATGTGCTGCAACTTTCGCAAAATTTTCGCGTGATCCTGTTTAGTAAACATACATTAACATACTGCATTTATTAAAATTAAATTACATTCGCAGGATTATCGTGGTAGAAACATTATATTTTGTAGTCGTGTAATGCAACCTTTACAAAATCTTTATCATTTTACGAAATATTGGATATTAAATCTCATTAATTACTCCAAAAAGATCTTATTATATTTGTCGAATAAAACTGAAAATAAAATTGCAGTCGTGAAAAAAAAATTTGTTAAAATAGTCACCATTGATTTTAACACGAATATTCTCTTTAAAAATTTCGCGCGGACTTCAAACTTGATTTAAAATAAATTTTTTGTGAAAAAAAACGAAAATTTTTATTGATAAAATATATAATATTGCAACGAATGTGCTTACGTAATTATATTTGAGATCCGGATGCATGTAATCGACACCTGTAATAGAAGAGTGGCATTATTGATACATATAGATTTTATGTTGGCGGTGATGTTAAGCGCCGCCACGTGCAACGTGTAACGTAGTATATACAACATAAATATAAATTCTGAGCACGAAAAAGAAGGTAGAGTAGTAAGAAGACGGTAAAGTGGCAATTTCTGTTCTCTCGTTAATGAAAAGCGAATGATATTTAGGAGGACTCGGACAATCATATTATATCGTTGAATACAGTTACGACAGATGCTCGGAAAATTTATCTTCTCGTCTTTCAGTGAAATGGGAGAGCGAGCGTTGCGTAACTCGCGCTACCCTCTCGGCGCGATATCGATTCAAAGCCCGCCAGTTCCCTCGAACTGCACTCGAGGGCGCGTGTAATTTAACGCCGTTTTGACTTCGGGATAGTCCTGTAGTTCGATAATGTCGATTCGAAAATGCGGGGGAAAAAAGAAGAAGAAATGAAAAATATATCCTAAGACGACACACCAAAAGAAAGTCGAGATGACTTTATTTTCTCAGATAATACGGAGAGTTTAGAAAGAATTCAAAAGGAATTCAGTCGTATGCCATTAATTCTAAGTTCATTTTCAGATGAAAAAGAATTGTTTTATCTCAAAAGTTCTGAAAAGAATTATCGTTTTGTATTTGAAAGAAAATAAATTTAGAGAGAATTGATGACGTATGTCTGAAGTGATATGAGTTCTCTGTGCTATCTGGATTGATGTCATGAAAGTCAAAATGATGATTTGTATTCACAAAATTTGATTGTTTATTGACGTTAAAAATAAAAATAAAGACTTGATTTGAAAGACAAAAATTATGATTTAAAATTTATAGAATTTAAACACAAACACTGAAGATGACCTGATAAAAAGGTCGAAATGTTTGTTAAAATAAACATATATTAAAAAATTGTTCATTAGCTCGTAGCCCTTCTGAAATTTTTTTTAGACTTTTTTTATTTTGAATTTGTTGAGCCATATTATCTACTGTTAAAAATAAAGACGTTTAAAATTTTTGTTGACTTTTATGTATTCTTTAGGATATTCCATCACTTACCATCGTCCATTATAGCCGTCGTCACGTTCTTCCCCGTGACGCCCTGAGCCCAGGCCGCCTCGACGTTCAAATCCAGTTTCGGTTTACCGCCGTTCTGGCCGACATTCTTCAGATACCACTGGTACTTGAAAAAAGGATCCGTCGGGTCCTTGTTCGCCGGATTTGCTGGATTCTTAATTTCGTATAACGGCACGAGGTTATCCACGCTTAGGAGCTTGTAGCCTCTTTTCACTCGCTTGAAACCCGGCTGCTGTATCGCCGTGGCCACCTAAATTTTTAATGTACTTCAACCTCCTTTAGGTCGTCCTTTTTAAATATTCTTAATCCCTTGCCCTTTTATGTCGAGATAAATTCGACGAGATAAAATCGCCTCGTGGCAATCCTCCGCATTGTTCTCCAAACACTCGAAATAATGATTGATTGACAATTAGTAAAATGTATTCTTGAAATCCCGACAAATTTAATAATTTCTTCAAATAACATATCAATCGCGAATGCACATTAAATTGCTAATTAGATTAAGAATGAAATATTTAAATTTAATCACTGCTCGTTTGTGACAAATTTGGAGTGCATCGAGTTAATTACTTTATAATCCAAATATTACAAAGAAAAGAATTTATAAATACATTCTCGTGTCCCGAAAGCATATAAAACTCATCCAAGCTTAATTTTCTTTAGCATAAAAAAATGAAATTACAACAATCCGCCAGCTTCATTAGCATTTTAATAACTTTCATTTTTTCTTTATGGTAATATTAATAATTGTAAAAATAGTAAAATTTACAGGCTCTTAATATTCAAGATACAATATAGTAAAAAAAGGCTAATAAGAGTCAAACAAAAGAATTCTTCATAATTAGGTCACCACAAATGTATTAAATATAAAAATATATACAAAATATAAATTACGAAGCTCTAACATAAAAAAAAATCTTCAACGTTATTGTAATACAAAGTATTACATGTTTCGGCCTTCTATTTAGGTCCTCTTCAGATATACAAAATAATAGAGCAGTAAATCCATAAAATTTAAGATAGACGGTTTTGTTAAAAAATAAGAAAAGATGAGAGTTTTTTCATGATGGATGACCGTTTGCGAAATTTCTAATCGTTCTAGTGAAAACATAAAAGAAGATTATATGTAATCAGAACTGTAATATGAAACTAAGCCAGAACGTCTCTCTGGTAAAAAAACTCACCTCTGAGTTCATAAAAATTAAAAAAATCCGTGTCAGAATTAAAATAATCGTCACTATGATGTCAGCGGAGGTAAAGGTTAATATCACATTCTAAGTGGATAACGTCATTATATTTTGTATGTATTTTTATATTTAATACATTTGTGGTAACCTGACTAATAATTGTCGCGTAGATACGCGACTCGCAAAAGAGATATCAACTTACCAGAGGGTCGACCTTTAATTTTCGCGTGTGCGGCACCGATCGTTTGCTTCGTACATGCGGCAAAGCTCTATGTACGAAGTGATACTCCGTCTGACTGTCCAATACCTTCAAAACATTTTTTTACATTTTACTCTTTATCAATAGAGATGCGCAGAACTTCTAACAATAAGTATCTTTAGAATATAAACAAAGCTGGGATAAGTAAGTTCTCAAAACAGTTTATTTTGATAACATTATTTCCATTGCAATAAATATCTCATACGCTTTGATAATGAAAGAGACCTCATTTCTTTTTTACGCGTTATACCTTGTTTGATATGAAATTTTTATAATTTATACGAAGGAAAAAATATTTTATTTGGACTTGTAATAATACAGCGTAAGTATATAACATTCAGTTTTATTTATTAATTTTATAATTATTATGTAATTATTTTATGATTACAAATTTTTGTTTTACATATGTAAAGAAATTTAACATAACGTAAATGTAAAGGAACGTAACAGTTTAACATAATGTAATGTATTGAGAATACTAAACTTTTTATATGTAATTGTACTTATATATGTAATTTTTTCTTTATTCTCCTTGACAAGAACATTATTAATTCAGTTCTCCCAGGGAAAATTGAGTGTACAAGTGACAGTAGAAAACTAGCATTCATAATACACACAGAGAGAGAGATAGAAAATGAAATAAATTTAATACCTGGAGGGAAAAAAATAAATGAGATTTCTGAGTGGAAATTCTAGCAATATGTAGAGATTAGAATGTCGCTTTTATTTCTAAACTAACGCGCGATATCTGATCCGATTTCTCGATACGCCCACGCCGGCAAATAAAAAGAGATTGTTATCAAGATAAAATAATTAGTTTCTAGGACGTTGTAAAGAGTGAGGATTGTCTCAGTATCTGGAACTGTTTGCATAAATCCTCGTTGCGTTTTACCAGTTCTATTGCAGCAGGAAAAAAATAGAAACGAAAATCGAGATTGTTTTCCTTTGGTTTGAAACGAAGCTTTTCAATCCTAGTTTTATTTCCTTTCTCATGAATGTTCGAATGTTGCATGTTCGTCGCTATGACCTTGACTCTCGGCATACAGAACTAATGCTACTATAATCTGCGAAATGAAAGACAATGACAGCTGTTCGACAACTTATTGTTAAGCTGTTGAAGCATTCTCTTAGTCGACCTACCTAAACTTGTGTAACATAAAATCAGTCGTTGTCAATGCAAGACATGGCAGAATCAATCGCATTGCAATAGACGCGATCGATCCAGACGATAATTTAGCGTCCATGTCTGATGGCGGTTAATCATACGAGACAGCCAGGAAACAGTTTTAATTGGAAGGAACTACGTCACTACTCCGGTAAATAGACCTTACAGGATACCAATTCTCTCTATATTGGTGAAATTCAGCATCAGAAACGTTTATCTAATACCGTGTGGTCGGTTATCGGTAACATGACCGCAAACCTACAGATATATAAAATTCTACGTATATAAAAAAAACAAGTTGAAAATAAAATCCGTTTAGAGAAAATTGTGTCAGCTAAACAAGAAAAGAACAATATTTTTTGTTTTAAACAATTGTATTGATGAGAATCGATGAACACTCGTTTCAACAACAAAAATATATATATATAAACAAAAATTTTTTAAATTTTTTATAAACAATGTTTTATTAAGAGAAACGGAAATAAATTGTTATTATTTTTATTATTTTGCATATACTTATTTACTAATTTTGTTTATTTTTCATTGTTCCTTCAAATGGAATATTTCGTATTTTCGACATAACGATTATATAATATTGTAATAAAATTTTATTTAAACCTAAAAGCAATGCACACGCTTTGTCAATATTGATCTAAAAATAAAAACAGAGAGAATCTTGTATACTAAAAAATTCTCTGCTCCATATTTTTTTATACTTGCATATTACTTTTTCACATAAAGCCAGCATCTTTTCTCGATCGTGTCGTTAATAACCAGTACGTGCGTCGGGAGTCACGTGTCATGATTTTTTAAACCAGTCCCATTTTCTCGGGTATTGATCTCGAAGTAACTTTACACCTCGTTTCGATGCAGACCGTAGGCTGCAGTAGTTCAATTAAACTTCGCCAATGGAAGCTTACGTTAACTAAGTCTGATTTATACGAGCTATCGTATTAGCGTAATCCAAGAACTGCATTTATTAATCTCTTAACGCAATCGTATCTCTAGAAAATATTATAGTTAAAACACACTTATCCTTATTCCTATCATTTGCGTACCGCTGTACAATTTTTGTATAAAACGCGTATCAGAAAGAAACTTCTGAGATTAAAAAGAAAAGTTTCAGTCATAGAAGAGAGAAAGAGAGAAAGAAAGGGAGAAGAGAGCTGTGAGAGAGAACATGACAGCAGTCTTCATTTAAAAAACTTCCACTCGATAAGTTATAAAAGCAGCTCTTACAGCAACGCGAGGTTCTCTATAAATAATACAAGCTCAAATAAATGTCTCGACTATCGCGCTTATACATATATATTCCTCTTTAGCCGACTATCAACAAATTTATCTGCGCAATTTAGATTTTCTTCCTTTTGCTGCTCATAAACATAAAGTACATCGACTCGACGGTAGAAAAAAAAAATGCGAAAATAGTTCTATTCGAGTCGAGCAGTTTATCTTTTCTCCTGCGAAAATAAAGTGATCGAAGAAAAATGTTTGAGTTCCTCATTTTCTCTAATTTCTTCACCACAATATTTTTTTTTATAGGCGAACTCGATTGTCTGCGCTACCGCTCTTTGAAAACTGTTATATATAAAGATATATCAATATAGAAACGTGATATCTAAATGCATCAGAAGCATATTTCGATAAAATATCCGATGTATCCTGTTACAAAAAATGTGATAATATTAAAGTTGAACATTTTATCGATCAAGACGTTTATATTTGCGACAAGACGTAAAGAATGTAAAGGACGTGAAGTTGCTTTATTGAAGTATAATATTATGTTTTCAATATAGTCTTAATTGGCTGTTATAATACAAAGTATTTTCAATTTATTTCATTTTCTTGAAAAAGACAGTAATAAAAGCTAAAATAGATAAAAGCTAAAATACTTATAAAATATAATAAATTATTATAAATATAATGTTAAAATAAATATTATTTTTTAATAAAATTGTTTCTTAATTTAGCTTTTGTTTAATATTAAATGCTTACGTCAATTTATTGAGTGCTTTATACTACAAACAATATTTTCAATAGACACAAGAAATATTATTAGGCACAAAGAACCACCATCGAATATGGCATTTCATCGATCGATTTTCATTTAATATTATTTTCAATATATTGCACTTTTCGCTTAAGCTCATTTCTACCCATTTAATGCAGATTAACTTTAATCTCAAGTTTTATCAATTTACTTTTTATCGCTTTCTAATTCTTAGAAGATAAAAAGTAAGTTAAACCGAGATTAAAAATTAATCTACATTAATAAAAATGAACATGAGTGACATAAGTCGATACGAACTTCGTTCTATTTTTCTTGGCATTCCATGACAAAAATATAATAGAATGACTTGTGTCGATTTGTGTCACTAAATGGAAGGCTTCCATTATGTTTCTGTATTATAATTAACAATGTTTTCAATACGGCGTTTTTGAAATTAAATTACTGCGCACATAGCCTTCGGCGATCATCAAATGCGAGGTAACGCAAGCGAGCGAACTCGACAGTGTTTGCGGCACAGTCAGCCCGCAATCAGTGGAGTACATCAAACTACGGGCGGACGTGGCGCTGAGTCTGACGCGTGGCGTGGCATCAGTTTCGGTCGCGACACAAGAGCAGATTCAATATACAAAATATTAAATTCTTCGCGAACGATAGAACACAACAAAATTCTTTATCCCTTTTTGCTTTTTTTAATTCAGCGAACAAACTACGCAGGAATGCACAATAACACGCATTAATTTAGATTCAGATATTCTATGGAGGATATAACGATACCGTGAAACGCTCCGATCGATTATTCTATGTATTAAAAATTTATCTGCCTCTACTACAAATATCCGCGACTTTCGCGAGTAAGTACTCCTAGTCAGAGAGTTAATGACTGCAGGATTTAAAATATATTCATATTTTAGCTTTTTATTTAGTCTCTGACGAAAATAAAAATCGGAGAGTAAATCGAAGAATAACAGAAATTTAAACAAAACTTCTAGGAAGTGAAAATTGAAACATCAAAACGTAAGAGATGTTAACGCTTTTTTTACGCGTTTTGTTTCAATTTTTGCTTCCTAGAAGCTTCATTTACTTGTTACTCTCTCTCTCTCTTTATATCGACTTACGCTCCGATTTTTATTTCTGCTAGGGGTTGAAAAAGAAAAAGATTCATATTGTTCATTTATACGATAATTGGGCGGTAATAAAATTCAAGATAAAAATTTGTCTATTTAACGATTCCGGTTTTTATTAAACATTTATTGAGACATTTGGAAGGCGTACAAAAGGATGAGGCGGAGCTATGAGATCAATTGGCCATCGAGATGCCAATGAACGTTCTATCGGGCAGAACGCTGGAAAATACAACCGGTAATATAGCAATGTAATCTGTTGCGGACTAATGCGAGTAATTGAACTATGCTGCAACAGAATCAGCGGTTCTGCGGTTTCTATACTTGCCTTCTAAAAAGGATAGGTATTTATTCCACCTCCATCCCCTTCAAGTTCCACTCAACGCTAATTAATCGAATATTAAACAAGTCGGAAACACGTGAAACAATCGTTCTCGGAATTCGTAATGTCTGTCAATATTAGCTGCAAATAATGATGAATTAAGTGCATACCCATTTTAAGCAGAACAACGTCACAAATAACGTCAAAATGAAATTAAAATAAATAGTTCAAAAAACAAAGTTAATAAAAAATTAAAATGAATTAATTTTGATTTTAACGTCAAAATAGCCAAATTTTATAACAAAAAGTCATTATTTTGACCTTCAAGATTTGATATTTTTTGGGTTATTAATTGAAAAGTAATTTTTAGTAAAAAATTTTGGAGTCACTTTGACGTCATTTCGATAATTTGAGTTTTGCTTTCCAAGTAAAAAAAACCAATCGCGATAATGTTAAAATAACGTTAAGAATGAATTGTAAACGATTGAAAAATGATTTTTAATAATTATTTTGGATTTTGATGTCACGGGGTGATGTCACCATTTTAATGTCACAATGATTTATTGTACTACTTGGGATTGGATGTGCGTTGCTATAAGCGGACATTCCTTTTTCGTGACATTTCGAGAACCCAGTAGTTCAACCGTACATAATGGACGACTGTTCTGACAATGACAACGACTCCAAGTTTATAGACATGGGGCACGGAGCCGGAACGAGGGGAACGCTATCTGAACCAGAAACGCTCGCGTGCCATTTCTTGCGAATTGTCTCACGACGCAAATAGACGCCATACACGAGAAAGTGAGGGTGACATCGAGAAGACGTAGCCCGTGATCCGATCGTTACGCGTTATTTGCCGTCCATCTGGACCTTTTCCTGTCCGCGTCTTTGTAAGGGTGATCGTTTTGTTCGTGTGCAGCTTAACAAAGTATATGAATTAAATCCTAAGCAGAACAACAAGTCATTATGATGTCTGCAAAAAGACTCCAAAATGATCATTAAAAGTCATTTTTCAATCATTTTCCGATTCATTTTAATGTCATTTTGACGTTATCGCGACTTGTTGTTCTGTTTGGAATAAATGAGGGAAGCATGAAGTTTTCAAGTTTTTAATTACTATGTTACGGTTCCGTACTCCGAGAGAATCAGGTGATCAGCTGCGACGAGGAAGGAATAACAACTGGAAGGAAGAAAGAAAGGACCCGAGCGCGAAACAATGTTACGATAACGTCAAAATGGCAGTAAAATGAGCCGTAACTATCAAAGGAACACACAAAAGTCGACAGAAAATCAAAATGATCTTATTTTCATTTTTAACGTTAATAAACAGTCAAATCTTGTAACCAAAAATTATCATTTTGACTTTTTCTTAACTTATTGGTGTGTTCCTTGATTTATGATTGAAAAGTGTCTTCTACTAATTATTTTGGAGCCATTTTGATGTCATTTTGAAGTAACTTGTGTTCTGTTCCCAGGGAGAACAAGAAAGACAAAATAATATCATTTGACGTCATACTGATCGATTATTGACCGAATTTATGTTATTTTTTATTATTATTTAATCAATATAACATTATTTTGACTTTGTTGTTCTCCTTGGATTGCGGAAGAGAAAAAATGCGAAATACTGACGCAATTGAGAGGGCTTTATAAGAAATTCTCTATTATATATGCTATGTGTTCTCTCTATATACATATATACATATCTTCCAAACTACATTCTTTAGTCTCCAGAGTTATCCAGGGGTCTTATTTTAAAAATATCGCATATAAAAATACTGTAGCATCTGTTGTGTATATATCATATATATATAAATTTTCGTATACGATATATTATAGATTCAAGAATGTATCCAAATAGAATAACACGTTAAAATAATGTTAAAATAAACCGTGAATAATTAAAAAAAGATTTGGGAATAATTTGATATATGATGATTTTGTTCCGATTGGAGAGGTCGAGGGAATCGACGGGCCTGGAGCGGACACCGTCGGACTTACCGGTCCCAGATTGATGAAGCCGTTCCTCAGCGCCACGCGATCAGCTACGTGCCGCTCCGCTGGCTGCCGCATCCTCACCAGGAACGTGTTGGTAAAGACCTCGGCGGTGGTCGTGCCGGCGAGGACGAGGAGCCCGATCACCGCAAGTAGTAGCATCGTGACGAGAGGCGGCCGGCGAGGTATAACGTCCAGGTATTCGTACTCCGCATTCGCGGGTTCGGGGATACTGGACGCTCGAGGTACTCGGCTACTCGAGGTACGCAACGGTACTACGATCTTCGTGGCGGCGGAGGCGGTGGAGGCGGCGGTGGTAGCGGTGGTGGCGGTGACGACGTCGGAGGCGGTAGAGGAGGCGGCGATGGCGGTGGCAGTCGGTTCACAGACGTACGACGCGGACGACGAGGGATCGAAAGATGGGGAAAAAAGAGGGGAAAAAAGGGAATATAGAAGAAAGAAAGGAAGCTCCTTCCTCTCTGGTCCCCGGGTGGCGGTGGCGAACTACGCGACCGCAGGGGTTGAACACACCGCTCGCGGCGCTACAACGCCGCGGCAGATTCGTCCAAGTGGAGGAGCTTGCAACGCGGATGAGCGACGTGGCCCACTGAATCCATTCGAAGCGGCGAAGTATGCGAAGAGAGATACCGCGTCTAGATACAGCCGCAAATATCACGCAAAAAATTAAAAAAATAGGAAAAAGAGAGACAACGACGTTTAATGCGCAAACGCGAATTTCTCCGCGATGAGAATACGCGAAGTTCTGGTATGATGAGAGACCTATCGCGTTTTTTTTTTTTTGGATTACGTTACGTTCGATTAATGGAACGAGAGAACTAATTAAATCGTGATCATCGAGGGAAAGAGGGTAAAAAAGGGGGATCCCGATTGCGTTGCCGCGCCACGTAGACGACCAAGTGGGCAGGTGATAAACCTCTCGCGTGACGTCACTCGATATATTGATTAAAACGGCGTCTCGACGTCGACGTCGACCAACATGGGAAATTTCGTAGTCGCGCATGCGCGAATTTGTTTCTCGAGGATACAATCGCTAAACAAGAAAAAATTTACTGTAAAAAAAAATTAAAAAAAAAAAGAAATTAGAGTACGAGTCTCGCAAAGAACCTGAACGCGAGATAAATATGGCGGTTAAGATTAATATTTTGCTAGAGAATATATGTATATAGATATTTGATATTATATCAGATAATACATATATTGCCAGAGAATATATATATTACTAATTGACGTCATTTTTTATAAAAAAGATGTCTAATTTTTATTCCAAGTCTTCCTAAAAATTGCAAGCGGGAAGCGTGGATTATATGAATATTACATTGATTAAAAATCTAAAATAGTTATATACGCGAAAACTAATTCCATTTCTTATAAAATTAAAAAGGAATTAACAACTAAAAAGTAATTATTGTATCATTCCTGCATACAAGTTTTTTTTCTAACAAGTACAAAGCTCTTTTCTTGTTTCAATTCAAATGTTTTCATATCTCACCATTTTAATTAAGCAATTATGAAAATCAATCAGTTTGAATTTTCTTTTTATTACTTAACTTATTTGTTTCGCAAACAGAGTTATGTTTTAATTTTCGTTTGTCGCGCAAACTTTTTCTCATACATTTTCAAGCGAAGAAATTTCCATCAAAAACTTGTGGAATTCAATAGCTCTTATATTTTCTTTTTAACGTATTTGTTCCAAACAAAGTTATATTTTAATTTTCGTTTGTCGCGCGGACTTTTTCTCATTAGAGCAAAAATAATGAGAAAACATCTGTGACGCAACAAAATAAAAATTTACAAACAAAATTACAAATTCTGTGCAAAACAAATACGTTAAAAAAAAAGTTAAAGCAAACGGTTCTTTTTTTGTGCTCGCTCCAAGCGAAATAAAACTTCTGGCATTCCGGGCGTCGTTTTACCAGATAACAATTTCAATTGATCGGACAATGCGCTTGTATTTATATTTCCTTTTACCTTCGATCCTTTTCCAAAAAAATCACAGCAGCTTCACTATTTTGTACGTAGATATAAATCCTGTTGTATTTGTAACATTGTTTCAGGATAAAGGATGAGCATACACACAATTACGTATCATTTAAAAAATATAATTTGCTATAATATATCTTACATCCTAAAGATATCGACTTGATTGAATTTTTCAATAAACTTTACATCCTTTCTGATGTGTAAAAAACGTTGTATATCTAAATAATACTTTACACATATTACATCTCTTAAAATTTCTTATCTAGATAGATTCACTTTAAATTTTAATAAAAACGACAAGTTAGTTGCAGGAGCCCGTCACAATATACATAAATGTCTGGATAGATCAATCATTAAAGTTAAAGTATAACAGACAAACGATACACATATAATGGGAAACATATCTCTCGTACAAACAATGAAAAAGAGGGAAAAACATAAAGAAAAAACTTAATATACACAGAACGTTACAGGGATCTTCATAAAATATTGAATTCAATAATCGTGAGTTTTCCAATAAAAAGTGTGAGCTGAATGCTTTATATCACTGACAAGATAGTACGTATATTTGATAATAATTTTCGTGTATATATTCGATATCGTATATGATCGATTATACACTTACTTTTAATACACAACTATAATTCCTGTTCTTGTAATTTGATCTTATATTTACAACATGACGCCACAAAAATATTATAAATAAATTTTATAAAATTCTAAAATTAAATTCATCTATATCGCAATTTCCAGATATATCAAATTACAAATACTTGGAAAAATGATCTGTTGCCGCGCAATATATGCAATCTGAAAAAAGAAATCAGTTTAAATAAGAAAAGTTTAATATTTTATTTTTTTTTAAATAACAGAAAATAAACGAAATCTCTTTACAAAGCAATTAATTATATTTTTTTATTTGAGTAATAGAATATTTTGATTTCGTTCAGATGGATCGGGTCGTAAGATAAACTCTTGGGCTTTCTGTAATAAGCCTAAGTTCTAAGTCTTAAGAAATTGACCAATCATAGTCAAATGTAAGAACAATAATTGATTATGATCGGTCAATTAAGACTTTTTACTGTTTTTCAGGAAAATATACTGGTAACACTGTGTAACACATTCCGTGTTTTCCAATTATACTTAACACAAATCGACACAATCGTATACAGCCAAAATGCTGTGCGTCATTTTATATTACATGATGTTCGTCATCTTATATCAGTTCACGAATTTTTACATTTCATTACCATTTATTTTTTAAAGAGCGGTTCTCCGAAAAGAGGTTTTAAGATTATATTCGGATATATTTGAACATAGATATATCAGATCTTTTTTATTTCACCCTGGTGGTAAAATAAAAAAGCAATGTTTTAATTACAAGTCACCACTGTGTTGAATTACTGCGTCATACAGTATATAAGTGTGTTCTGTTGTTGGAAAGCAAAGGTAATGGCTTATTGAAGAAAGGCCATTAGATCTGAGTGATTAATGACAGATTCTTTGCTGCAATTTGGTAACAGTACCGAAAAAACAGTATCGAAAAAACAACTTTCTTAAGTAACAAAATTTAAACTTTGTTCGTGAATTAGAAATGTCATGTAAAAACGTGTGACGTAATTACGTTTTTGTAATTTTATGTATTCACGAGTTTATATATGTATATATATAATTTAAATGTATTCTAAGGTCAGATTATACTTGTACGTATAATTATAAATATATTTGCGCAACTTCTTTAAAACGTTCTACAATATAACAATGATTACAATAAGATAATAATAACGACGATCACAGAGAGACGGTCTTTTGTCGTTGGAAGTACAACATTCATTTGTTTCGACGTTTTGTCGATATTATACTCAGGAAATCACTTTCTCATAATAAGTACAATAAATGTAAGGCACCTACAGTTTCACCTATTGATATTATTTGTAATTTTCGTGAAGTGTAACTTTCTTCTCGCCTCGAGCCTCGCTACGGCTTGCAACCTCTTTCTTTCGATCTCTTCCGCGGTACATCGTGTTGTCGGTTGTGAACCAGGTTTTTTTGCCGTTTCCCGTGTATCATTTTTCATATTACCGGTAGAATGATGCTTAACGAAATGATTACCATCGCTTTTTACCACGCACCTGTTAACATCGGACCCACGCATTCGATTCACGCTATGCATTAACGAAATTGGCTTATTCTCAGCCTTACAATCATTTGTAACAATCGGTTGTGTACTTACGGAGGCACGCGAGCCTTTAGCACTCGCGTTCCGATTAACAGGTTGCTCCGACAAGCTCTTAGTTTTAAAGAATTTTCTATTCTGTAAGTAGTTAGCGTTAGACGTTTCAGGCTTTGTCATAGGTTTAAATGAGTCGGCGGATTTGACTTCTGACTTTAACGGCGCATTAGTCAAATGCTTATAATTGGCTTGGACTTTCGTGCTATCGTTTTTATGAATTGAGGATACATCAGATTTCGGAAGTAATTTCTCTTCCTCAACGCACGACACTAACCAATCGTCAAAAGAATCGTTATAAAAATCAAACAAGTCTACCGTATTATTTTTTGACAATTTTTTGTTATCACATGACTTTCTAGCAAAGGAACGTATTGTATTATTATTATTATTTGGACATGGTTTATACGTATCTTTACTGTTCTGCACTGCAGAATGTATACTAGAGTTTGCATCTCGTCTCAGTGACAACTTTGAGTATGTCTTTAATGAACTATTGTCGCATAAGTGAACACTTAATGCATTTTTACAATTCTCACTGGAACTAGACTGTACAGATATTGTCTTATTGGATACGTCATTTTTGCATGAATCTTCTTTTTTGATCTCCAATTGAGTAGAATTCCCTCTTTCCAGCAAATTGAATTTCTCCTCTATCTCTTGAGTGCACCTGATTATATCGTCATCTACAGAATCATCAAATAAATCGTCATAAGCTCCGCTAGTTTCCTTTTTACTGGTGTTATCATTTGTTCCTCCGACGCTATTGTTTCTCTGTTCGTTACCGTTACTGCGTTTTTCGATGCTATTCTGTATGTCATCTTGAACATTTGACGTTTCTTCCTTGTCGCTTATGTTCGTTAACATTGGCACTTCTTTCTTTTCGACACAATCATTCGAATGATTATTGTCATTTTGCTTTATAATTCTCATTCTTTCGTTCAATGCTTGCAGCTCAGCTGCAAATTGTCCAATGTTTTCTATGTTTTCCATCTTAATAGTTTTTCTCTTGAGTGGCTTGTATAACAAAGGCGAGTTTGAAATCCTCTTCCTTTGAAACAGCTTAGTACCCTTGGGAGTTTCGCAGTGGACATTACGTTTCTTGCTGCTGTTCTCAGGAGTCCTGCTCATAGAACTTTGCCAATCCCATGCAACCTCGTTACCACCTTCCTGAGTGAACGTAGGCAAGATCGGGCTTGGAGAATAATCAAAATCCGGAGAGTCTTCCTTATCTACGTTTGTGTTTCGTTTCTTCGTTATTGGCGTGCTGTAGCCAGAAGTCGACTGTTGTTGGCAACTTTGAGGAGAGTCAATCTTCTTGTCATTCCTCTTATTTACCTTGTCGCTCGTTGTCATTGTCACATTATCCACACCTATACATAACACATGCACTCTTATTATAACGCTTATTATTACCTTAATAGCAGCAAAAAGAAGATAGTTAAAGTAATTAAACAGAATTAACTATAGCTACCTCTTTTCGCACTTGAATGCGATCTTTTGCCATTTCCAAATTTTGCACATCTCATCATTTCACAGTTTGTTTATAATTTTTTAATTCTCTATAATTCTGTATCTTTTTACGATAATAGAGCTTCCGATATTGGACGGTCAATCCTAACCTAACTCATAGACCGGCAAAGATTACGGAGTGCTCAAACTAAAAAGTTTCCTTATAGATCTTGATAAACATCAATTCGACAGTACTCGAATTTACTCGAAGAAGCGTTCATTGAGTTTCCAAGTTTTCCAAGTAAAAATCAATATAACGTTAAATAAGCCAATATAAACAATCACAAATACTAAGTTTGTTTGAACGAGTCTTAAAGTCTTAACTAATATAGAGACTAAACATAACCATGTTTTAAAGGAAACTGTTCGCTACGCCTCTGTGTACAAAACGTGCAACTATAAGGTCTCACATCTATTTTGCGACGCTGTCGATAAATTGTAATGCTTTACTTTCTCTCTTTACAACTAGAGAGTCTCAAAGGGGGAAATGCTGGATTTACACTGCATCCGATTTTTGTATCATCGGAATCCTGTTTTCTGATTGGTTGCAGAGCGTCGTACGATGAAAATCGGATGCAATGTGAATCTAGCAAAAGAGTGGCAAATTGCATCACGTGAATGCCCAATCACGTGACCAGTTTTCTCCAATCTCTTCCGTGCTTCTGGAGCTATGATGCCCATGTCCAATCAGAGGAGACGATCGTGATGCAATTTGCCAGTCTTTCTCTGACCGCGTTCCAAACTTGACTGTCTGAAAATCTATAGTGCACGTAACGTAAACTGTAGCATTTTCAATGCTGGCAGTAAATTTGGAATACAGCCCCTGTGAGGCTTTTTAGTCGGCAGGCTTCTATCCTGGGGGTCGATTGTGTATCTCGAAACGAGGTGAAAATTACAAAAGTGAGCAAATTTACTAGAATATTCAAAATTTAATTGGTCAATAACTAGTGAATTTACTCACTTTTGTAATTTTCTTCTCATTTCAAGATACACAATCGATTCCCTGAGGATTTAATACCGACACGAACCACATCTACTTTCGATGATACGATTTTATCGACAGTGACAAAAAATGTATGTAGTCAGTGATGATAAGCGACGCGCAGATGTGTTACCCGCCGGAAATATCCGTAGCTACGTTACGTAGTTCAATGTACAGATTTTGTGCACATAGAGGCGCCAGTAAGGGATTCCATCTGATTCTATTCAACGCGGGCAGTTTACTGCGTCTGTTCCCACGTCATCGTGATCATATGTGTACATTAAACATCCGCGTTGATCCGCGTAAGCGACGCGAGTGGACTCGAGGGTAACAATTGGAAAACAATGGAGGTGACGAGCTCAAGTGAGTTCAGATAAATAGTAAAGGTGATACTACACTCGTTCAACTTTCTGTAATTTAACATGACCTTGGTTAGACTTTCAGGACGTGCTGAACGAATTGGACAGTGTCTTAAAAGATGCTACGTTTCTTAGTATTGACGGCGAGTTCACCGGTCTTATTACAGGTCCAGATGGAAGCCAATTTGACACGCCGGCTCAATATTATTCCAAGATCCGAACGGGATCGATGAACTTTCTGCTGATGCAGTTTGGTCTGTCCGTCTTCACACATAACCCAGATACACATAAGTGAGATATTATTAATTTTGTGTCTGATGCCATTCCTATCATTAACTTTAATCTTGATTTAGTTTATTCTATCCTTTCTTAGAACTAGAAGATAGAAAGAAAATTAAACTAAGATTAAAATTAATCTACATTAGTGGAAATGGACATTACTGATTTAACTGAAGTGAACAAGCATTTTCAAAAGTAATGAAATTACATAAATGTAAAAAATGATAGGGCTTATCTGTTCCAGATATTCACAGCGTTCTTATAACTTCTATGTGTTTCCTAAACCGATAAATCGCCAGGTTACAGACACTAGATTCATGTGCCAGTCATCGTCTATAATATTTCTAGCAAATAAAGACTTTGACTTCAATAAGCTATTCAAGCATGGCATACCTTATCTCGCTGCCAGCGACGAGGAGAAGCTTGTCAAACGCTTGGAGGAGAAACGGAAAATGAAAGAGGAGAACTACACAATTCCAATAACGGATAATGACAAACCTCAAATAGAAGAAATATGGTAAATCTGCGTCTTTTTGGTTTACCATTTTCTTTAATTTAGCAAGATAAAGTTACGAGAAAAGCATGACCTCAAAGAGACTTGAGAGCTGTCTAAAAATTTTGATTGTATATCAGAAAATCTATAGTGTATATAAATTTCAGTTCTAGAATAGAGAATTTTCTTGCCTCAGATGCAAAAGAGTTAATGATAGACCACTGTAATGGTTTTATGAGAAGACTGGTGTATCAGGAGGCACGGATCAGATGGCCTAACAAAATAATAGTTGAAAACAAAATGGAAAACGGCTGGCAATGTCTTTTGGTGCAGAGGGTAGGTACCAAACAGGAAGAGGAAGAAAGGGAAAATCAGAAGCGAGAAAAGGAAAAACTAGAAGTTAAACAAGCTGTAGGACTCAGTAATCTGCTGAAAAAGATTGTAGAGTCTGTAAGTTTTTAATTATACATTAATACTTTAGTGCAAATATAGTGAGCTCATAGTGAGTTTGTGATATAAATATCATCTTTTTCAAACTTTTTACAAGCAACGTTTTTTTAAATATTTTTTGTAATAGAGAGACAAGATATTGCTTCACTTATATATAATTTTTTGATTTATTTATAATTGTTTTTAAATATATCTTAATTTTCTTATTTCAGGAAAAAATAATAGTAGGTCATAATATGCTGTTAGATCTCTGTCATATTGTACATCAATTTTTTACATCTTTGCCAAAGGATTATTCAGAATTCAAGACTTTGCTTCATGGTTTGTTCCCTAAGTAAGGCGCAAATATTTTCATTGTTTCGTAAATATAATCATTTTATATCTTTTCATTCAAAACTTTTTAATTCTTTAATAAATCTCTTATAAATTGAAACATATATGGGATGAAGTTCAGAATTAAATCTAGAACCTGCTATGTGAATATTTATGTTTATAAGATTAGAATTTTCTTTGAATATTATTTGCTTTAATATTTGGAAATTGAAATTGTAAAAATTTACTTTCTTATATTTAAGTTTGTTAGATACGAAAGTCATCTGTCAATCGCAGCATTTTAAAGAGCTTGTGGGGTCGTCAAATTTGAACTTATTAATAGATGTTGTGAGCAAACCTCCTTTTTCCATTCCTGATATCGAGCCTGTAGAAGGACGTAGTTATTCGTTATCAAGAGAAAAATATCATGAGGCAGGATACGATGCATACATCACTGGTTTATGCTTTATTGCATTATCCAATTATCTTGGTCAGTAACAATATATCAGATACAAATATAATGATAGATAGTATTATTGCCGATATTGTTATTTATTTTGGAAGTAATTAGTTATAATAAAAATATGTATTTGATAGAGTAGATGTTTCTTTCTTATATTCATCGATATTTTTTATGTTGATTAATTATGTACATTGATGGATAAATTAAATTCGTGATTAATTATTTTACAATTTTTGCCAATAAAGTACATATTGAATTGTTGCTTATTTCAGGCAAATTACAACACATTGAAAATGCTACGGTATTAGCGAATTCACCATTACTTAATCCTTTTCTCAACAAGTGAGTATATTTTATATCAATAAAAAATAATATTTTATATTCCTATAAAATTTATACTTTTTATCTTTTTATTTTATTTATATATAATTATAATTATTTTATTAGTCATTTTTTTGTATAGAATTCCTGTACCAAGACTGAAAGATTTTCCATACATAAATTTGGTAGGAAAAGATCGTAAGTATATTTAGTGTCATTGAAAAATGATATTACAATATCATTGGAAAGTGGTGCATTACTTTCATTTAATAACACATCTTTTTCTAGCAAATCCTAGCAGAGAACACGTGTTTCATCTTACATTCCCCAAAGAATGGAAACACACGGATATCATTCAACTCTTTATTCCATTTGGCAAGTATGATATTATATCTAGAGTACAAAATGATAACTTCCTTTTTTTGTACAAATAAGACACGAATTGACGTAGATTACATAGAAGATATGCATGAAGGATATAATGAATTTCTTCCTCTCTTTGTTTACAGGAGGCGGATACATTTCATGGTTATCCGACACATCCGCGTACGTAGGCTTATATCGTCGTGATCAAGCCGGCATCGCAATGACAAGCTTGTCCAAGGAAACTGTATACAAAATACAGACATATACAGAACATCAAGCCACCTTGCAGGCCAGTGCCTCTCCTGAAGACCGCAAACGAAAATTATCACCAGCAAAGTAAGTTATTGTAGATTTTATTATGACATTTAGCGTAATTCCATTTACAGATGCTTCCACAAATGTTAAAGTTATAACTCTCAGATCTTCTACTAAATTTTTTACATATTTTTTAAATATTTCCTATCCATTATACATTCACAGGTAATTTTACTAATCGAAATTTATATTCTTACATAATTTTTGCTTCCGGACTAATAAAGCTAACTTTTTTTAATGTTTAGAGAAAATACAAAATTTTGTAAGAATTTTGTATTGCTCTTTTGCGATATGGATATATATGTTTACGTAACGCAATCTTGGAAATCATACGCGTTCATGTTCCAAAAATGAACGGTCTCTATCGCAATTTATTTTCTGCCGCGAGCTATCACGTTCGTGCGAGATGTATTAAACGCAAGGATGAATAACGCGTTATAGGTCCGCTATGATTTCCAAGATGATAAAGAGAGAGAAAGAGAGAGAGGGGGGGGGGGGG